CCACTCTAGTAAAAACCTGTGTATACTTCTGATTTTACACTAGAGTTTGCAACGCTATGTTTAATTATATTTTGTTGGCAACAGTAGTTGTCAACGACAGTTTAAACACGTTGTGGTAAACTCCGGTGTAAACACAGCTCAAAATAAGCCCAAAGACCAAGAACAGCTAGGCCATTGATTTTTCACTAAATACAACGATTTATTCACTATTTATAAAAGACCCACCGATAAAAAATCTGACAGATGGTAAAACAACAGAAGAAAACAAGCTTCCTTTAGTCCGTACTTTATTATGTAGTTATCCAACAAATACTTACGTAGATCACATTAGTGTTATTAATCCCTGCCAGTTTGAGCACTAAAACAGTTCCGGTACAGCGGCGAGACAAATTGTCAGTTTATCCCGGTTATCCCGACGATTATCCCAGACAGTGATCCCGCAGTTGCACAAGTCCCTTCCTGTAGAATGACGCAAGTCAACAGATCCGGAGTTGCCAAATTCAGGAACAGTTTTGATCGAACGTGCTTCTTCTGAACAGCTGACAAGCACCCTGAAGTGAGTAGAGATGGAGAAAATAGCATTACGAGATGGTTTGTAACCAACAGCTGTCTTTATATCGATCCAGCTGTCTGTTTGTCTGTCTGTAATCTCGAAATCCAGCGGAAGGATTTTAAATAAATTTTGGAATTAGGGGATTGTAGCCCTAAAAACGTGATTGGTGACAGCCACTATCTGAGGAAAATTCGTACTTTGCTACACAACTCATTGAAAATGAAAAAAATTACCTTATGGGCTGCTGACGTTCAAAATGATACATAATCCTCTGCACAAAATGTTTGGGTGACTGTCCACAATCAAACAAAAGTTTAAAATAATTTGATTAACTTCAAAGCAGGATAAGTTATAATGCATTATGAATGGTTTCACGTGGATTAGGGCCTACATTGATATAAAAATCCGTAAAGATTATGGCTTTAAAACTGATCCCTGAGACACTCCGGAGAACAGCTAATACATTGTTTTCTCTTTATGAAGTAGATATGGATAAATCGGGAGGCTGATGAAAAGCATCCGTGACTGGAGTGTCGTGACTTTCAGAATATCTAGAAGAAACGTTCGACTTAAGATTTAAATTAGTAAGTAATCATCAGACTTATTTTGTAGTACTGCAATACACATTTTCTTAGTAATGATGTAAATCTTTCATACTTTCATTTAAGAGTTTTCCTCATCATGTTTCTGATGTAGAAACATAATATATAAATATTTAAAACTGGTTTTGTAGTTTTATTACCAATTTTGCAATATGTTTCGGAGTTGTTTAATTTCAACGACCAAAATTTTGTTATGGGCCTAAATCAAGTTTCCAAACACAATGTTTGAAAAATATTTATAGGATTTAAATATTTCAGCTATAAATATTTTTATCAGCATTTCCTATACTTTCTAAGAATTCATAGTCATACAAGACCAGAAAAACAAATGGTGCAGAACGATTTGGTTCTAATTGTGGCAATAGAAATATAACACAAATTTGCCTTGCAACGGAAATAACCTGCAGTAACCGTTTGTCAATTTATACAAATAAAATATGCAATCGATGAAACAACTATTATTTGCATTCTACTAGTACTAGGCGTGAATTCATAGAGGAGAAAAGCCAATGATACCGTTACAAATTGCTGTCGTGCGAGGGAACAGAAGAGCTTATGAATTTCACCCGTCAAACTCCATTTCAGATCCTCTGGAATGTTTAGTGCATATAAAATAAAATTTCAGCTGCATTTTTATTCGCTTTCACTAGACTGATTTATGTAAAAATCTATATATATAATTCTGTAAGACAAAATATTTACCAGAAAATTGTGGACGTCTGGTAAGTCGCAGAAAAGTGGGAGGGGTCTTAAATTAAAGGTCTTGACCCCAGGGACTCGGGAAAAATAGCAGAATTCCCATAAAGTTACCAGAAAACGAGATATAACGTAAAATATCCACCATAAGAAATGCATGGGGACTGAAAAACGTCTGCATTCTATCAGCTGTTACTTATTTATTTGCAATGCTTACGTTTATTCCGAAAGTCAATGTTGGTAAATAATGTTTCAAAATCAATTGGGTTTAATTTTTTGTTTTCCGTTTTTATAATGAAAGACGTAACTAGACAGGGTAGGGGAAGACCAGCAAGACGTGGAAGAGTGTCAAGGAATTCAACAGACTTAAGAAATGCAAAAGAGAACATCATGTAGGGCCTAACTGTGAAAGAAATCCAGAAGCTGTTTTACAACCTGTCTTTAGAAGAACGCTGGAAAATGAGTTGAGTTGTTTTTCACAATCTAGGTCCTCTTAAAGCGCTTGCATGCATTGTGGTGCATTTCACTTCGCAGAGGAGGCCACAAATGGACATTTCAACGCATGTTAATTGCCACAATGGACATGCCACAACCACATGTAAATGACGAACTAACTGATTTTACATGATTCGAACTTCATAAAAACCATAAGGTAATACAACAGTGCAATGGCTATTGCGTCGCTTTCCGCTACACAAAAAGAGATTCCGGGAAATGGGCCTTACTATCTTAAATTTCAGGGACAAATTCATAGATACATATTTCTGACTTACCAGTGCCAAATGGGGAGTTTCCTTCATAATAATTAGCCTAATTTCAACCTTTACATTTGGTTATAAAAATGGAAACTATAACAGAATTCGTAAGATTACAAAACAAATCTTCAATTTTAAACTAGAAAAGATGTGCAATGTTTTGCTGTATGATTTCAGCTCTGATTCGTCGCTCTCCGGGCTCAGGCCAACCGTGTGCACGTTTCCATGTGTAAAATGTTGTGTTATTGATTTAATCATTATTTTACAATTGTAGGCTATTTCATTGACACATTAGAAGCAACTAATATACGACTCCAACGGAATGAAAACCAAGATATAAAACAAGAAACACTGTTAATTTTAAGTGACATAAAATTGATAATTTTAGAAACATATTTAGAATATTTGTCTTTTTATATATGGTTTTTTATTGTAGTCTAAACTAGGGGCTATGGCCCCTACAGGCCACTAGTATACATTATTTTCTTAAAACATGTCTTAAAATTCGCATCTTAAATTTTCTACCTTAGAGATTTCAAATCACCTGATATTGTAAACACGTGAAATGTAAACAAAGAGTACATTTTGTAAAATAACCTTTTTGCCCATAATTTGTTAGCGATTTAAATGCAGCTTCTAATATACCTGCACTGTTTTGACATAGACCTAGCCACTCTTAAGCTGTGCTGGGCCGGGTTTCTCAATCTATCCGGTTTGTTCATGATGCTCTTGTGCTATTGGTGCTTACTATTGATTTTCGTGACCCTGGAAACTTTATTCGCTCTCCTATTGTGTCTGGTGGAAACTTCACGTTGGATCGGTTATTTGGCAGTGCTTCAAGTGGAAAAGTTTTTACTCTCTTTCATCTTGAACTACAAGCAAAGTTTCGTCGACGACTTGGTACGGGATCGCCTGTAGGAGGAAAACTCGATATGCTGCAAAGTTTGTTGCGTTTACTATTATTACTTCGCAACTTTACTGTAAAGAATAACCGAAATTGCCAGCAACATTGTGAGAGTTAACGGATTCGATGGGAATAAATTAGGCTATTGGTTTTCAAATTTAAGTAATTAAATTCCGGATAAGAAATGTTTAATCTATGACGCCTAGCATATGTGATAAGTGAGTTATTTACAACAACATATTTCTTAGTTTTTTTTTTAGCTTACAAAAATGTTATTCCTACGTCAAATCACAATGAAAACAACCTACAAAATTTGGACGGAACACATTCGTTGTACATCTAAAATCCAAGGAAAGACATAGCCAGTTTTACCTCTTGTATTCTTCTACACATTTTCGTTATTCTTTAGACCAACTATTTGAGATTTATTATTGAGGACTTTAAATTATGTTTAGAATACCGTTATACAACATTTGAAAGTTATTAAAACATTGACATATTTTATAATGTTAATTTCCTTAACAGAAAAAAATATTTACCAAGAGGCATTTTTTATGTTTAAATATTGTTTTGGAGCACCAGAGTATTAAAGTGGAACTAAAATGTTGTCTGTCTGTCATTACAAGAAGGAAAACGAAAACAACAATGTTTTAATTTTTATAACATATCAAAATTAAGCTTTGATAATAATTGAGGTGTGTAGACATCCAATTTCCAACTCAAAGTCGACAAAGTTGTAGTATTTATTGTATCACATATAAAGTCAACAAAGTTTTAGCCAGTCTTAGAATTATAATGTACATAATTAAATGAAGCCATTTACAGCGAGTGCTGCTCTCAATTGACAATCTATAATTTCAGAGACCTTTTCCATGGTAAACTGGAATAACTATAGCAAATTTTGATTCCACATAAATTTAAGTATCGAATACTATGGGAAAACATACCATTTTGACTTTTGTTAAAGCATACTTTATAAGAGGTGCATTCACATATGCTCTTTTTGAACGAAAGATTGGTTTCAGCTGGTCCAGATGTCCACCCTGTTACTATTGACTATTGGATACTGAAGTAGACATCCCATCTGTAGGGACCAGCTGTCGCCAATTTCTTTATTAATATGAACTTAGTTCAGTGAGACAGTCACTGATTGCGCTAGTGTCTACAATTTTACTTCCTACTTTATCTTTTTAGGACCTACTGAGATGGTTGACTTGTCATATAAGATGACAAAGATTATAATAAGTGGTCCTTACAGTCTGGTTTAGTTAAAAAGTCCGCAAATTTGATATAAATCAGTATAATTTAAATTAGCACAATCTGTTGGTGGCTCACTATAAATACGTCCATTTGGATTAAAAACCGGTGACAACTTCATGGGGATGGAATGTCTAACTATCAATATTTTAAAGTTATGTCCAAACGACGATGTTTTAGCTCTCATGCAGATGACCAAATTATTCTAAAGATGATAAACAAAATTTAGCTTAATGGAGATTCTCTATTCAATGTGGGGAAGTGTGAGTGTCACATTTTTGTTAATCATAACGAAACGTTCTCTACACTTTCACGGTTTCACGCAGTCACCAAAGACAAGTAAAGCAACTATTACAAATTCCAAAGCACCCGGAACAGAGTGTTACACGATAACAGCATCATGATTGACACGAACATTGCGCACCAAAACATGATTAGCCCAGTTGCGCCCGCTGTAATCCCAAGGTCGCCAAGGCCGCTAACGATAGTGTACTGGAGGCTCCAGCGGCCAGCGATACACTGGAGCTGCAGTGCTGGAGTCAGTCGTCGGCCGACCGCTCCAGCGGAACAGTGTTCAGTTCAAGTTCCTTCACCTCACAGCTCGCCGCTACACTCTCCGTACATACCATAACGTGAGTATATAATGGTACAATATCACCAAGAGTAGGTTAGCAGTTGTTATGTATTTTGTAATTTTAATATGTAAATTTCGTGATAAAAAAATAGTTTGAGTTCAATTTAGGGTCGTTTTTAATTGAATTATTATTTTTTTTACTTTTTTTCTTTCTTTATTTTACCAGGCAATGTTAGGGCCACATGTCCCTCTCTTACACTTGACCTGACTTACTGTGTTGTCTTAATATGTGACCCTTTTGCTCGTTATTTTTAATTTTATTTTGATATACATTGTTTTATTTCTGTTTGCATTTTTAGTATGGTAACTTACAGTTACACATTACAATCATTGCAGTTTTTCATGTTTTACTACGTTGTGATAAAATTTGTGTCTTTTGCTATTTACTTTATGTTTTATTTTACGTAGTTTCATTACGGTATCTAACACAAATAAAATCTACACTTATCAGTTAATTTTGTAGTTAACCAGTTGTTTTTAACTAGTTATTTTGTGTGTATTTTAAATTCGATGACGCTATAATCTTGAAAAATAACAGTTTTATCATAAATCTGCTATTATAAAGTAATTCAAATGCAATTGAAATTTTAATTTAAATCTTGCACCTGTTGAGTATTTTCTTAACTTGCATACTGACAACATGTTTTAGCAATACAGTATGCTTTAATTACAACTAGAGGTCGTCAAGTGGTCGAAAACTTGATCAAAAATATGTACTGTAATACACAGACTTCCTTACTTTCATACCACGCTGTAAATGAAACATGTGATGTAATTTCTTTAATTTGTTTTGAACTTCTGTTTATATTTTGTTGTTATTTCGTAACCAGCATGGCAGCCCATAAAGCCCAAGTTAATTTTTGATAATTCCAAATAAATTTTGTATGCTTATTCTTGAGTTTATTTTAATTTATAAAGGGATTCTGCATATCAAAAGGAAAATATATTTCGAACAGTATGCGTAGATTTTCCCTGAGATACACACGAGCTGAGAAAAAGGGTTTAAAGAAACATGCTTGCCTATTTATATATAGATAGATAGATTACTTAACTTCTTTGTAAATTAAAGTGTACATAACAAGTGGATACATTAACTTGAAGTAAAGTTAACAGTTCGTAAATGTAATTAAAAATGAATTCAAGCCCATTTTTAAGTGCTTTAATAACTACTATTTTATGAGGCATCGAATTCAATATAAGAAGAGATCAGACTAGAGAAACTTGTGTCATCTGCATTAAAAACATTTCAAAATTAAAATTAAAATGCTGTTTTTGAAATATTTATGTGTGTATAGTTATGTAATTAATTTAATTATACATATCTCTTTGGTTTTAATCTTGGAATAATTATAAAAGATATTAACGAATCTAAATTATAATTAAAAATACTGTGTCATTTTATGAAACAAATTAGTAGGCTACGTTTTTTTTTTACAATTGTTTAAAACACTAAGTAAACAATAAATTGTATTAAGTCTTGAATGAACTTATGGCTGTGAATGATACTTGCTTGTGTGTAGGCTACTTCTATATATTTATTCAATATAATTTCTATATATTCAATCTTAACAAATCCACCAATAGTTTCAAGGCAACGTTAATTTACTATGAAATATAGTATGTGCGATTGTTAATCTAAATACGTAGTTAACAGGCAGAAATGCTCATACAGTTAACATTTTAAAATAAGGTTTTGTAAGGTTTAAGAGAGATAAAAATAACTCTTCTTGCCGAAATAAGGGTAATGTTACACAAAGCGGTTCAATAACATATTGGAATCCAGCCAAGTTCATCGAGGCTTGGGATTTTCTGAAACATTTGAGATTACCTTATACTACCTCGTTCAACTACATTATAACCAGATGAAATTTTAGGTGATAGTGATTGCAGGGGTAAATATATTTAAAAATTACTGTGTTACTACAATTCCTGTTATATATTTCTGTTCTCCAGTCATTACATGTAGATGATCTAATACCATAACTGTGTAAGCAGTGTGTTGTTAACTAGCAAAGTGTTTCATCACTCTGTATTCGAAAATAACCCATTTCCATACAGCTGAGATCTACGAAACAAATAGTGAACAGCTGACTATTCCTGACATCTATATTATAATTACGCAAGGCAATTTTTTTCGTCAAAATTGTAGGCGACTGGGAAGTCGTAGAACGACGGGAAAGGGCTCAAATTAAAGGTCTCGATCCCGTGACGGGGGGAAAAATAGTAAAATTTCCAAAATTTTTACACAAAATTAGATATTACCTAAAATATTCTCCATAAGAATAGCATCAGAAGCCATTTACTGCTGATTTTTGTTTACTTCAATACAGCTGATAGTGATTTATCACTAAGCCGGTACGCAATATTAACATTTGGATTACTTATTTGCCAGTCAATTTTACAATCAACTGTATACTATATAAAACCAGGGATAACGTTACCTTTACTTTACACTAATTTCGATAAACCTTTAATATCGTATAAACTTAGAAATAATAACTGGGTCGGGATGCTTTAGCGGTTTTGACCAAGAATTAATTAAGCTTATCTCAACACACATTTATTTGCCTTTTCATATTTGACGAAGACAATTTCCAAAAGTCAAATCAGGGAAGCCTTTTTATCATCATTAACCACAAGACCAAACACCACAGCTCCTTAGTAAACCTGTATTTATTCACAAACAATTATATGTTTGCTTTTATTTTTGCACGTAATCCGTGTACGCTTGAAAATAAGTTGGTAACACTTAAAGATATTACGACTACGATCAGCTGGTGCAGCCTTTCCCATTTCGTTCAATGTTTGGATTTAACCTTGCCTAAAAACGTGTTGTACAGTGTTTGAAAGACAAATTATTTATATGATGTGTAGTAACTGTATGAAAAATATAATGTGTAACACGAGTGCAAACTTCATTTGCTGCACTCGAGAAACTTTCCACACTCGTCTACTGCTTAGCTCGTGCGTAAACATTTCTCTCTAGTGTAGCAAAGTGCCACTTCGCCCACTAGTTACACAAATAACTATTACACAACCATGTGATAGGATTATTTAATATAGATTATTTATTCTAAATCCATGCAAATGATAATGAAACGGATTTTCCATCCCGTTGCGAAGCACGGGTACAGCATTTAGTATGCTATGTACAATTCTACAAATAAAATTATTAACAAGCATAACAGGACCCTCTTTATTGCGAAACCTTACCTCATACTGAAAATTTCATATCCGCGATAAGAAAAAAATCGGATTGTATGCAAGATTCCTAAAATAATATCCCTTCCTGTTCAGCACTAAAAGTTTAAATGACAACTATGTTGGGCTCCAAGACATATAACAATAGTTTTTAATTGGATACATAAGGAGGGAGATTAACCAGGAAAGTAAACTAGCAACGTTATTTTTTCCTATCAACACGTGTGGGGGGTCTACGTGTTCAAGTCCCGTAGTTCACAGTTAACTTGAAGCCACATTATCATGTAGTGATTCACTCATTGGCCAAACTATCTAGAAAACTATCACGGGCACGTCTTCGAAACACGAAGCTTTCTCTTAATTGGGAACCATAAACAAAAACTATAATCAATTTATTGGATATCCACACGATGATAGTTTTAAAACTTGTAAGACGATTAATGGAATTTGATTTAGGAATTCCATAGTGCTCTGCGATCCAAGAGTATCTCTATCATAAAGTTTCGAAGATTTTTGTAAATTGGCAAGTAAATCAGTAAGTAAAGAGAATGTCTAAAACGGATGTCAGAGGTTAATTTCATTAGTTTAGAAAGTTCGTTAATCTATCTAAATGTAGTTTGTAGTTTCTCTATACAAGATTGATACTTCTTAAGTTCTCTGGGTTTTTAGCAATGCAAGCTCGTTCATTTATGCCAATGCTAATTTACGTATCCTATTATTTACCCAATTCATTAATTTATCCAAACTAATATAACAAAAATTAATAATGTCTATCTCGGATAATACATCTGCAAAATTCTTAGATATTAATTATTGTGCTGACGATAACGCACAGGATTTCCAGGAAACATCTGAACCATAAGTCTGAGATCATTGTTTATAACACATAAATGAAGTAATAGGTGAATTAGTATTAGTTCTTAGAGAAAATAATGGAACTAATATAAAATATACTTTATAACTCTTATTACTTCATAAACTGTTTATTTTATATTTAACGCAAAAATGTAGCTAAAAAAAACGAACGAGTGAAAAATAGCAGCCGTTCAAAGATTCAAAATGGCAGATTCAAAAGTCTTTGATCGCCTACTATTTTTGAAAAGTTGTTATTTTGAGCTCAAATTTGCGGTATATTGTATTCTACTAATAAATAACTTTGATGTGCATATCGAACTATGTTTACTATTAAGATTTCCTTCTGACTCCTTGGGGGACGTCCCTATGATATGTAAGAAAACTGAGTTCCTTCAAAAAGTAATCACCAAATCACCTTGCCACCAAATCAGGTTGATTAACCTTGGTGGTTATTGTTTCGTGTACTGTAATATTTCTGAATTGTACAGTTCTGTGTAATATTGAAACAATAAAGATTTTTCTAATATATATATATATATATATATATATATATATATATATATATATATATATATATATATATATATATAAATGAATAAGCTTGAATACAGAATAAAAAAAAGAGTAAATTTTTAGGAGTCGTGTTGATGTACCAAATCGTATTGATTTATCTGTTATCATTCAAAACATATTAAACCCGAGCGGGAAGTATGTACACCCTGTATGAGATTTAAATTAAAATAGGACACTTTTCTGTTTCTTAGAGATAAAATTTGTTCAATAATGTAAAAAAACTAAAATAGCGGTAAATATCATAAAAATAACTATAAAATTTAAGCTACCAATTAAAATTACCAATATTGAATTACTACTAATATCAATACTAGTACGTTTCACGCTCTCATCAATGAAATTTATTTTAGAATCCAAAATGTCTCCCCC